AATCTCAATAAGACTCTATTTGGGGTTACAATACTTTTCGTAAAAAAGTACTTTTAAATGTTATAAGTACTTTTAAAGCGTTTGGTGAATATCATCCTATTGAATTTGAAATTGAGTCTTCGGTGTTAAAAACATGTCAACAAAAGTTCAAATTTGGTACTTTTAGAATAGCTTTTCCGATTTAGAAATAAAATATTAAATTTAATCATTTTATCCTATATTATGAATTAACTAAAGAGATAAATACATTTAAAAATTATTAAATTACACATTATTCAATACAATGAGTACTTATTCAATTATGTCTCCAAATAATATATTTAAAAGCAATTAAGTACTTAGTAAGTACTTTTGTTAAAAATCTCTATTAAAGAAGTGCTTTTCAATAAACTATCGCAATTCTAAACAAGCCTTTAGACAAAATTATGAAAGATAATGTAGACCAAAAAGTAAATGTTGAGCAATTAATTACCTCACACAATGCTCATATTCTCCGTCGTGTTTGGATTCGTAGTTACAAAGTCACCATCGGGCTTGATATTTGTGTATAATTTTCCTTCCCGCATGCTTCCCAAAAATGGGAAAGTTGATGTTATTTACTGCTTGTTAGTAGTTGAAGTACTTGGAGAACTCGAGAAGGGTGGGAGGAGGGTTGAACTATATGGTACGAGAGAGAAGGTGTAAGTGAGAGGTTTAAAATTCGAGACTTCCTACTTATATATATAAAAAAAAAAAAACTTAAGGAAGAGTTAGATTAGCTAGTAATGTGGAAAGGGTTGGATTGAGCGGTAAGATGAAAGAGATTGTAAGTAGGAAATTTTGAAACTTTCAAAAAAAAAAGGGAGAATGAGACCAATCGTCCCTCACATATCGCCGATGTGAAAATTTAGTCCCTTAGAACGAAAATGATTAGTTTTAGTCCCTACAAACAAAAAATAATCACTTTTAGTCCATTTTCACTTTTTTGAACATATTTTGACCCGAACTTACTGGACCCACATGATGTGCATAATTTTTAAAGGGTAAGAATGACAAACCACCTGACTAGAAAATGTGAGGGAACTAATAGTGCAAAACTTTAGTTAAACATTCATTAAAAAATATATAACTAACCCACCATAATTAACAATTCATCTCAACCCAAAACAACCCTAATTACAAACTCTCAGCAGCTGATTAAAATTCATCTGAAGGAAATTACTGATTGAAATGCCAAATATGTTGGGTTCAGAGATAATGATGCAACAAACGCCGACAAACTTGGCAACCTTGGCGTGATCGACGGATGGAACTTCCACAATTTCTCCACCTTCCAGCTTTTGAGGCATCCTGACTTTGATGGAGAATGGGTTCTTCTTGGTTTCAATAATTGCACTACTGTTGTAGATCATGACAGCACCATTGTCGGTCAGCATTGCAAGTGTTCGTGAAATGCCTGAATGAAATGTCTGAAGCCGTGGAGCACTAGGGAAAGCTCTGCATTTGCCTCTTAAGAGCCGAAGTCTCCGAAAACCCAAGAAACTCAAACACCAAAGAGAAGTCCTTAAAAATCATAAAAAGCCAGTTTATTCTTTGCCCCAATCATCAACCGACCATGAGTAGAATCTTGAGCCCCATCAAAAGCCTTGTTTAGACATCACACTTCTATCACAAAATCTCACTGCCTTTGATCCAAAGAGTTTCTCAAAGACACATCCCATACAATCTATGCCTTCATCTCCTAAAACTTTTTCTCATCTTGCCATTGTCCTGCTCAACAATCCTAGCTTGAAAGCGGCATAGTTTCTTCACGAAAGAAGGGAAAGAGTCCAATGGCGTGTCACTGTAACAAGAAAAAGATGGAAACTTTGACAAAGCATTTCAACCCCATCCTATTTTCACCCAAAAAAGTGCAGTCTTTAGATATTGCAAGCCACCAAAGTTTACTCTCCAACTTTAGGCCTGTGGAATTTTTTCCATCTTGATTTTGACCAGGAACTCCGGACAGACTTGCTAGAATGATTTGGGCTAGGAAGCACATTTTCATTTTTTTTTTGCATTTATCTTTTATAGCACATTTGCTTGTTATTTTCTTGTCTTTAATCACGAATTTCCTTCGAAATATTTTCAATCAACTAAGAGGAGTTTGTAATTATGGTTCATTTTGGGTTGATATGAATTAGAGATTTTCAAGTAATGGTGGAATAGTTTTTGTGTATTTTGATGAATATTTAACTAAAGATATGCACCATCAGTCCCTCAAAATTCTGATCAAGTTGATTTTTCATTTTTACCCTTTAAAACTTGGATATGTCATGTGGGCCCGGTAAGTTCCAGTCAAAATCTGCTCGGAAAAGTAAAAATGGACTAAATGTGATCATTTTTTGTTTGTTAGGGATTAAAACTAATCATTTTCGTTCTAAGGAATTAAATTTTTACATCAGCGATAATCAGCGATATGTAAGGGACGGTTGGTTCAATTCTCCAAAAAAAAAAAACTTATGGGCTTGTTTGGCATTTAGGTGATTTGGCGAGGAATTTCGAAAAACTCTTCAAAAATTTTAAAATATACATTTCAAAATACTTAAAAACACACAAAAAAATTTTCCTTCTTCCTTCCCCTCTTGGCCCACTACCACCATTGCCGGTGCCCGTTGTCACCGTCATTGGGCGCTTCTCTACTTTTTATTTTCTTTCTTTTCTCTCTGTCATTCTTTCTCCTTTTCCGTCTTTCCCTTATTCTTCTTCTCCTGCCACCCCATCTTCTCTCATCTCTTTTGACCTCTCTGGTTCGTGAGGGAGAGAGGAAAAGGGATGAGGTAAAGGGGGAGAGAAAATGAGGAGAAAGGGAAAGAAGGAGGAAGAGAGATAGGGATTAAGACAGAGGAAGGAAAAAAAAGGAGGTGCTAGCAAAAGTGTCGCCCGACGATGGAAGTGGAGACTGGCGGTGATTAGAACAGTTGTGAGAAGGAAGAAGATCAGAGGAAAGAAAAAAAGAAAGGAATATAGCCTTCACTACTACCACCACTACTCCAAATTATGATAAATTAAGCATCAATGATATCCTAATTTTACTAGTTATTATTGTTGTTATAGGGTTTGCTTAGGAGGGGTACTTTTTAGGAGTTTTTAACAGGTAATTTTTTTTACAACATTTATCTATAGGAATCTTTAAAAACATCCCACATTTTAAAAATGCACCTTAAAATATCCCAAAACACCATCAATGTTTTTCTCTTTTGCCTTTTTCCTCCTCTCCTACCTCAATTCTCCAACATGTCCGCCAGCTAGCACGTGCACTGTCATCTACTCTAGTACCGACTCCACCCCCTCTCCTCTTTCCTTTTTTTTATTTTTTATTTCCCTGTCTCTTTTCCCTCCTCCTCTCTCCATCCCTCCACCTCTTTCTTTCCCCCTTAACCTCCACCCTCTCCTCTCACTTGGCCCCCATTCCCTTCTATTACTTGATCCCTATGACTTCTAGTCAAGCTACCAAATCTGGTCGTCTTTTCCCTCTAGTCAAGCAATTAGATTCAATCGTGTGACCAAAGGTTGCTAGGGTGGGAAAAGGCGGCAAGGGAAATGGGGGAAGGAAAGAAAGAGGAGGAGATGGAGAGAGAGAGAAATAGAAGGGAAAAAAAAAGAGAGATGGCCAACGGCAATTGAGGTGGTGGCTATCAATAGCGGCAATAAGGATGGAGGGAAAAAGAAGAACAAGCGTAGGAGGAAGGAGAAAGAGGAAAGAATGGAAAAGAAAAAAAGGAAAAAAATTAAGTTTTTTAAATTTTTTAAAACCCTAAATAGACAAAAAATTTTATAATTTCTATAGTAAAGTAGAATAAAATTTTATATAAATCCCAAAAAATACACCTTGTAAAAGACCCATGGTTATTGATATTAGTGTAAGTATCTCATGACCGTAGAGCATTTAACAATTTTAATTAATAGCTCACAAACTCAAATCAACCCATTAATAAAAGGAATAATTTCAAAAACCTCTCCTAAGGATATTGATAATTTCATTGACCTCCCTTGAGATTTGGAAAATTACACTGACCTCCCCTGACAAAATAAGGGGCCCATTTGCTGATATCACCTAGTATAAAATTACTCATGTACCTCAACACATTATCTAAGATTAGAAACTAAAATATGAGAATTAAGTAATTATGGCACAAATCAACTAATTAATAGAATTATCTATTAACAAACATGAATAGTAATGTGAAAGACACAAAATAGTGTCATTTTGCCATACCAATTGGCACCATTTTGTGATTGACATGACTTGACATGACCACATTTCAATTGTACATAAGAAAGGCTCGAGTAGAACAAAAGAAGCACCAATCAAAGAAATAGAACAATAAGTTTGTTCTTGAAGATTTTTTCCCTTGGTTTAGAAACTAAAGAGATGGCCTTTGTATCAAAATAATTTTGTGAAAGTGGCTAAGAAAAAAGATAGAAGAAAGGCAAAATTGGATATTCTTTTCTATGTAAAATCACAAAAGGTATACTCTAAATCAGGTAAACAATCTCCTTAGCTTGATATTTAAAAGTTGTAAACTTAGTTGAAAATCATGAAATTTTTCGAGATGATCATAATTGCAGTCTGCCTTGACTGATAATTGTTTGCAACTGATAATTATTTTTGCTAATGCACCTTGACTGGAATGCATGAGGGGTATTTGTGAAACAAAATTTTCATATTTGTGAAACAAAATTTTCATCTCTCTCCTAAAAGTAGTTTTATAAGTCATACTTTTTTAGAGATGGACTGATTTTGTTACAAAATCATAAACCTTAAGGGATGTTAGTGTAATTTTTCAAATCTCAGAGAAGTTTAGTGAAATTGTTAGAAACCTCCTGACAGATTTTTGAAATTATTCCTTAATTAAATTAAAACTCAAAAATAGTAAGGAGCTCTATTAACAATTTAACATTGTATGAATTTATACATTGATAATAATTAGTTGACCATGAACCTTAATGATCTGCCTTTTCCTTTTTTGGTTTTCAGCTGCTACTACCAGAAATAAACTGAACTTGTAGACGATTGAATTGGAAGGAGATAATACAAATAAAATTAACAGTACAAATGCCATTCTTTAGCCGCAGGTGAACCAAAAGATGGCGACAGCGGTTGGATGGACGTGGAGTTGGAGACCGCCCACAACCACAGTTACATGTCCCCGCCGGTCATCGCCTCTTTCTTTACCTCTACCATGCTTCAGGTAACCCCTCCTTCCTCTCCCTACTTTTCTGCACAAGAAACTCCAGGCGGGTTCTAACTTCAATTGTTAATCCCTGTACCTTCTGGGGTGGGGATTTTATTCCACAGGGTGGTCCATGAAAGCAAGACTAGACCATTCAAAGTCTGCTGCGATTATTCCTGCTTCGAGGTAAGCTTTCCCTTCGGTTTCCTACATTGGGATACATTGACTTGAAGTTTATGTTTTTTCTGTGTTCACTTTATAGATGGTTTGTCACTTGAAAAAAATGACGACTTTTCGAACTGTGTATTTAGGATTGTGGATAAAAAGCAATAAGGTACAGAGCTGTTGAATTTTGAACTGTAAGAGCAAAATGAAAATGCTGTCCATATTGGCAATCGAAGTTCAAATAAATCTCGAAGGTTCTGAATCATCAATCTTGAGAATAGATGAAAGAGAGCTGAACTGAACTGAACAGAAAGAATTCAATCATTTGCTAAAGCTTTTGCTGATTCTTAATCGAATTATATCCTAACATTATGGGAGGAAGAAGATAAGCATCGCTTAATTGACTAAACTTTCTTGTTACGAATATCCTAAAAGAGTCTGTAACAAATTAAGATGCGAGATTGTTTGGTTTTCAACTTTCATAAATTGCCCTTCATCTTTTTAGCTCTTCAAGTTTTGAATGCAACCAAGGGTGATTATCACATGGTAGAGTGCACGGATGTAATTCATTTAGTGCTTTATAAATTGCATCCTTGGTCAAGTGGAACCAAGAGGTTGAGATGTGAAGTGTTCTTCATCATCTGTTGGACCTTATGTACAAATATCAACACCTGTTTTTATGAGATTTTCTGGTTCAGTTTCTTCAACCACAGTGACAGTACATCTATATGTTTGCTAATTGATATGTAATATTTTCTTTCTATTTTGTCAAGATGTGCTTTGCTACTAAGCTTTGTAGAATCTTTACTGGACAATACGAAGGTCAAGAGTTGCTAAAATACTCTAATTTCTATTTCCTCAAATATGTGCTATTGCCAGCTAAAGGATGTCAGTTACCAACCTCCTGGAACAAAAGTCAACCTTCTAGATGGCGTGAGTTTCTCCCTCCGTGAAAAAAGGTGGAATTTCCTACTTATCTTTGCATGATCAACTGTTGTATTTCTATTGCTTTCAAACAGTTTTTCAGTGTTCCCCTCAAACTGGTAACATAAGCTACGTGAGTAAAACCAATTTATCTTCTTCTGTTAATTAATTGGTGCTTGTGGAATATATGTATTCAAATTACATTCTTTTTCTTTCTTTTCAAATTTGATTTGAATTTCACTGATGGTAAATTTTTCCTTGCACCATGTTTTAGTGGACACATGCATCTGTTATGAAATGCTTCACATTTTATCTTTTTGTCATGGATTTCTGCAGTTTTGGTTTGATATTTGGACGGAGTGGTAGTGGAAAAACTACTCTCTTACAGGTGCTAACTCTGTTATTAGAATTTGTGCTGTACAATTAATACAGTTATGATTTATCCCTCAAGTTAAACTTGCATCATTGATTTTTCTATGCACAGCTGATTGCAGGATTTAGTAAGCCCACGTCAGGCTCCATTCATGTCCAAAGATATGGTAATGATGGCTGCCCAAATAGGTTGCCTGAACTCTTAAATGCAAATAAAGTTGGGATTGTATTTCAATTTCCTGAGAGGTAATGAGATGCTGTTTAAATTTAAAATGAAAGTTCTCTTTTTTTTTATCTTTATGTGACACATAACTGCTTTATTTGGTGTGATGAACTTGTGATTTTATGGGAGGTAGGGTGAATAGGGAAGGATTTATGATTGGCTTGACCTTATATCTTTCAACACTTTTTAAGTCTCTACCTTTCTTTCACGAGAATTTCTGAAGGGTTACATAGATTTTGGATACCTTTGAGTGGTTTAGGATTGTTCATCAATCTAGAGAATGACTTTAGATCGAGCAAACTGGATATAACAATGTTATCTGGGAAATATTGTTGATAGGTGAAGTATTATGGTGTGCCATACTCCTGCCATCCAAGCGCTTCTTTTTCTCTATTTATGTTTGGAGAGAATGAAAACCAAGAGAAAATAGAAAGAAATTGCACACTTACAGCGAAAAAGAATATCGAACTAATGATATAGGTAAACAAATGTCCAACTTTAGAGCAGGCTGTCAGGCTATGAGTTTGCTGTTAGGGTATCTCACAGTTAGATATTGTTGTTTGATATATGTAAAATGACACTAAAAAAAAGTCCCTCCTCTAATATGCAAGTTTTCTTAACTGTACTAAAGAATTTGCAAAATAATACGCCATGTACTAGGTATTTTGTGGCAGAGAAGGTTTTTGATGAAGTCATCTTCGGGTGGGCAAGACAAAAAGGTGGCAGTCAGTTGAAAGAGCTTCTTGATTTAAGACTTCAAAAAGCTATTACTTCAGTACGTATTGTCATTGAATTAATTCATTCCCTGCCCTTCTAATTAGCATTAGTTCTATAATTTATCTGTCTTGCAGAATATGTCTATTTTGTGCAGTTCCAAAACTTTTTCTTGTGGTTGTTGCAGGTTGGTCTAACTGGAATTGCTTTGGATCAGGATCCACAATCACTAAGTGGTGGTTACAAACGTCGTCTTGCTTTAGCAATTCAGTTAGTGAGAATCTGTATCTTCTGATGTTTTTTTCCTACTTTGACATCCATAATGTGTCTGCACCAGCAAAATGGTACACATATTTACATGTCATTATTGCACTTAGGTGCTAATTTGACTGAAAAATTTTGTTTACTTCACACAGGTACAAGCTCCAGATTTGTTGTTATTGGATGAGCCTCTTGCTGGTCTTGGTAGGTGGATGCCCTATGCTAAATTGCTTGTAACTTGTTATGCTTCATGTTGCAAATTTCCTTTCTACCTTTCATGTTCTAAGTAAATATGATGAAAAACATGTCAGTAAAACAGTTATGGTAGATTTATTCTTACAAATGTGTAGCATGGGACACGCTCAGAAAGTCCTACAGGATAGTTTAATTGTAACAGTAGCATATATTCCAGTTATTTGTAGAGAAAGAAAAGGGATGTGCGTATGTGCAATTCACTTTGTTAGTTGATGGTATAGATTCATTCTTCTGTTGATCCTTTTGCCAATACAAATAAATGCTTGGATGGAGAGGAAGTAAGGTAACAATTGCATACAGATAGAATGAGATTTAAACATAAAAGGCAGATATAGTTCCTTTTTAAGATACCACTTTCTTTCCAGGAAATGATCGAGGATAGTTGGAGGTGGTAGGTATTCATGAGGATATACACCATTTCCAAGTTATTGGTTGACTGTTTAATTTTGTTTTCGGGATTATAATTTATTTCAAAGAATTGTGTTGTTATGTCTTGCTACTTCTTGAGTCTTGAAAAATGAAGTGAGGGCATATCTGATTAGGTTATATTGTTGAATTATCTTGATCATTCCTCTTATTCTCCGAGTAACCACTCCTAGATCGCTGAATATTTTCTGCGTTATGAAAATCAGATTGGAGAGCTCGTGCAGATGTCGTGAAACTCCTAAAGAATCTAAAGAAGGAATTAACTATACTTGTCGTCAGCCATGACCTTAAGTAAGGTCTTTTTTTCTTTTTAATTTTTCCAATAATTTCTTGTCTTGGAATTTTAATATATATTTTTTCAAATAGAGATTTTGCTGTCTTTGATTAATTTTTCTTGATTAGCTGTTAACAACTTTGCTGCATTATGTATTTGCTTCACTTATGGACGGGGGACTTCAGTTCCCTATTGTGCACGTGGCTATCACCTGTATTTCTATGGAAAATGTAAATTTTAAACTGTTGTTATCTTAGTCAGAAATTTAGGTCTACAGAGGAGAAGTGTACTCGTGTTTGAATTGCATTGAGTTAGTACTTTTGTTCCATGTAGATGTGTTCAAATTCCATTGAGTTTGTACACTTGTTCCATGTTGATGTTGTAAAGTAATTTAGTTTCCATGGGACATTACCAAGGTCATATGTTCTGCTCATGGGTGAGTTGAAATGAACTCAGCATCAACCAAGTGAATTTACTGAGAGTCTAGATTTATATTGGTAGAAGTTTTGGGTGGAATTTTGCCAGGCATAATTCTTTGTCTTGCTTTCCTTTTTCTCAAGTATAGTGTCCAATTTCCTATGATTGAAAATTGTCAATCATACAAAGTTTCTCCTCAATGACTCTTCATGTAGTATGAAAGGTAGTGTCTCCATATGTTCTTTTATTTTTCAGCATATCTTGTCGACCTATATCATCCTTTTCACTTCCTTTTTAAACTATTATATAGGTAGAACTGTCTCTTATACTGATACCAGTTATGGGATATAAAATTTTGGATCAAGGGTGTATTAGGTTTTTGATGGGGCTGAGCTGCCATGTTTTGCATGTTTTTATTCAGAAATGTGAATTTATTTGTAGAGAGTTGTCATGCCTAGTTGATCAATCATGGAGGATGGAGATGGGTGGAATGCTTAAAGGTGAGCCACTTCCAGTTTAACAGATGCAATGCGTCTTTGCCTACTTGAGCTATGCAAGATGTAAATACATGAGGTATGGCAACAGAGTATTGTAAACTAATTGAGTTGTATACGTTGCTGAAGTTCAACGATCATGTTTATGCAAAAAGATTTAAACACAATTAACTAAAGTACATTCACTTCCTGTTCCGTCCCTCCCTCCCCCCCCCCCTGGCCCGCCCACACACACACAAACACCCGCAACAGAAGAGGAAAAAAAGCTAAGAAGAAAAGAAAAAGAAGGAAAGATGTATCATGAAAATAGACAATTCTGGTTATACTAGGTAGGTGGTTTTTATTTTTCTCCTTTGTGAAATGCCATGTTACTCGTACAAAGATAAGCTCATATTTCACTGGTGCACAATTGTGGTAGTATAATGCAACCCCGTTGGATACCTGCAAAACTTTGGAGTTTGCAGTTCTGCAATTCATCATATAAAGAGCCACCATTTTGACAAATGCTTTTGAAATTTAGTACAATAGCAGTACATTCCATTAACTTTTGCTTTGGTATCAAATCCAGAGAGATACGAAGAACCCCGCTTTATTCTCGCTCTTCATCGAGTTCAAGCATCACCACTCATTCCTAATGACATACTAATCACCAGCTCACAGTGACGAATCACGATACTTGATAGACGAACAGTGAATACAAGAGTTGGATTGATGTTTCATACTAGGATGAATATGTTTGTTCTTTGTTAAATGTAGTCAGCATCAGTTTTGATCCAGTGCTTCCAAATTAACCGTTGTAGTACCAGTGTCAATCCCTTTAGATGATGGCACAGATTTGGAGGTCTCCTTCTTCAAAGTGATCTTCTTAGGAGACCTTTTATTTTCCTGTGTCATCCCCGTAATGCATGCCCGGCTTGCCAGAGAGTTTCTTGATTTTGTTTTGTCCAGTGCTTTACATATATATGATTAGCATTCTTCAGAACAATCTAATTATGTCTTCCATTTTATCTGGATGAATAGTTGAAATTGAACGTCTTATTATGTCGATTGAAAACTGTTTTGTCAATTTGCACTAAACATGATAAAACATCTGGGCAGTGCAAAAGTGAACAAAAGTGATTTTATTCAACACAAGTAAAATGCTTATCACCAATTTCTTTGGATTTCTAAGATTCACAGCAGATGAGAAAGATCGTTATGCCTTTGTACTCGGTGAATTTCAAACTTTTGAAGTGTAGATAGGACTCATGTGACTGCAAGCTGAAGTATAGCCTCCATCAATCACAAGATTGTGGGCTGTTATGAATCCAGATTCATCACTAGCTAAAAACAATACTGCTTTTGCGACATCTTCCATGCTTCCGCCTCTGCCTCTCAGGAGACTTCCCCTCTCACCCACAATCTTTGTTACGTCCTCAGCCTGTAGATCATCCCTCCCAAGGCATGTTCTGTAGGCACTCAAGAGCATCTCTGAGGCTACACCATGAGGTGAAATGCAATTCACACGAATCCCATATACTCCCAACTCACAAGCAGTAGTCTTGGCCAGTCCAAGAATTGCAGTTTTTGATGCTGTGTAGGCATGTGCTGCAAGGCCTCCCATGATGGCTGCCGAGCTCGATGAACAGATAATGCTGCCTCCATTTTTACCTGCGATCATTGCTCTCGAAGCATGCTTAATCCCGTGTATAATGCCAAACAGATTGATGGAGAGGAGGGCTCTCACATCCTCCATGTTAAGACTGGAGATGCTCCCTCCAGGGCCACCAACGCCGGCATTGTTAAACATGATGTCTAGTTTGCCTTTCCATGCCAACGCAAATTCTACAGCTGATTCAACGTCTTCTTCTTTAGAAACATCACAATGTATATAGCGCCCTCCAATTGAATCAGCTAATTTTGATCCTAATTCGTCTAGTATATCAGCAATAACAACGTAGGCTCCATTCTTGGCAAATAGCTTTGCTGTTGCACCTCCAATTCCTCTTGCACTACCTGTTATGAGTGCAACTTTGCCCTCAAGCCTGGACCAGAGAAAGGAGAAAGAAAAGTGAAAAACATAACTAGGAAGATCAATTACTAGGAAATATTAGCAGAAGGTTTATGTATTCACCAACCTCTTTGATGGACTCTGTCGATCTTCTGCGCAAGGATCCATTTCATTATGAAGAATGTCAAGAGACTAGCTGCATATATAGGGGCCTATGTTTGTTTTCTCTCTTCACATGTGTATATTTTAAGAAGCAGCTCTCTTTAGGCTTTTATGTTTGTTTTCTCACTTCACAACTTTTCTCATGTAAAACTACTTTGTAACTAAAAAGAATCTGTCTCCTAAAGTGGAGTTGAAAACTCTAGACAGGAGATAATCCCAATTTACAAGAGAAAGGCAAAGAATGCCCGTCATCTTCTAAGTTTTTTTATGGCTAATGAGTTGAAGAGAATTTTCTAATTTGCTTTGCCTAGAATGGCAACTTTCAGCCTAATAATTCTGTTAAAAGAGAAACGAAATTCAACCTAAAACAAGAAATCTCCCTAATAATTGAAAACAACAATTGCTAAAATTTTAAATGTATTATGGACATCATGTCGTTGGAGAATCAGATTTCAGAAAGAGCTCTTCCATTTTCATTGACGACATGGTTTGTGATCTTCCATAATTAGATGGGGAGGAAAATCAATTTTAAAAATCTAACCAGTGTTACGAAACAATTTAAAGTGTGGATGTCCCTTTGTATTCCTATGAGGATTAATTCATGATTTATGACTATATTATGTATAAAAGTTATAATCCATAAATCTACTCATGTAGTGGGTGTTAATAGGATTGATGTTCCTTTAATCTTGTAGTACCTATATATAGAGGTACATTGACACACTTTGGAATGACCTTTGATTAGTTGGAATAATAAAAAGATCATTCTTCATTCCTCTACTCATTTATCTAATATTTCAATTCCTATTATAGTAATTCATTTTATTAGTTTTACAACACGTTATCAGCACGAGTCTCTACTTTTGAGCAAAAGGTGAAAACGGAGGCTCTATCTTGAACAAAAGTGAAACAGGAGATTTTGCCAAAATTCTGCCTGTATTTCTTCAAGTGACTTCTGTGGTAAATTTCTGACCCACAAACTTATTTCAATTTCTTATGGCTAATATTTGAATTATCGCAAAATATAAGTACCTACTGTTGAGCAACCACTAAACACAAACATATATTGTTTGACATCTTTGAGGTAATATTTCTCCTTTTAATTCTACTTATTTATCTTTATAATTTTTTGTTATAAATACTTATATTCTGATGCATCGAGTTTTAAAGATACTATTATAGAAAATCAATTATGTTTGAAAATTCACTTATCCTTTGAAAAACTTTAAAAAAAAAATTCGACTACCTGAAAATGGTCGTTCTTTAATGAAAATATTTGGCCTCTAGAAGATGTTCATTATTGCAAAAGCCTGGTATGATAAATTTACCTGTGGCTACAAGAACATAATTATGCAATTTTCAGAATTACTTCTCAGTTGAAATTGTGTCGAGAAAATTTTACTCATAAGATATATTGAAAATGATACTCTCCACAATTGATTTCTCGAATATGCTCCTGTACTAGCAATATTAAGAGAAATTTTGAAAAGTATTTTGTACTTATTGCATGCTAATTCTAGTCCATTCTCAGAAGTAAATGCGACTAAATTTCAATTTATTAGTTATAGTTGTTGCCATGACTATGATTTTGGTAAATATATATTTTACCATGACAAGAGAAAAAGTTACCACTTAAAGTAGGATAATAATGATAAGGACAAGAAAATAAGAATCCTAAAGATAAATGTCCCGAAGTACATTTGACGAATCAAAATTATAGTATCATTTTCACATGGCTAATTTCTTTAAACACCCTGAAGGTGTATGATGATTGATTTAACTAGTTTTTCTTCCTGAAGAAAAAATGGATGTTAAACATTTAAGATCAAAGGATTATAGTGATGATATTTGTCCCATAAGAATTATAGTGACAATGATATGTGTCTCGCTAATGAATGCTACTATATACACTATTTTCGAACAAAAGAGACAAACACAATCAGTGGTAATGCTTAAGTAATTGAAAATTCCAGAAGAGCCACTATTATATTTCTCCCCGTAGGAGAAAAGTTTATGATAAATAAAGCACTACTTTTTATCATGTCTCGAAAAATTTATTGAATTTGAATATCCGTCGAAATGGATATCAAATTGAGATACTAAATGAGACAATAATAGAGATCATGTTTAGAAATCAAGTAAGATAAAGGTTAATTATATCATAATAATCATTCGAAAGAGAAATGATTATCGATATAGCTGTTTTCATTCTTATTTTGATTTATAATCATCAATTACAGTATATCAGAAGTTTACTAATCCCAATGTATATGCGATTTGACAAAAGTGAGAATATTTAAGAGTCGATAAGTATTTATACATACCCCTTTTATATTATATATGGCTCCAAAAAAAATTTAAAATTTATGTTGGGTATGAATCACCTTTCACGATTAAAAATCGTAAAATATTGATGGGTGATATATTAAATGATTTATTTATTCTGATGAGTTATGATTCCCGACATTAGGGGGAGGAAAAATCAACCGAAAGGAAATCATTTAAAAAAAATTAGATTTTCTCGATCCTCATACAAAATAATGTGAACTAGAAGTTCAAGAAATTATTCATTTGCAGAAAACTGCAAACCAATTGTTAGATATATTATCGATTCCAGAAAAATCATTAAATCAACTATTCCTGCAGGAAATACCTTGATTAAAATTGATGTCCTTGAAAGACATGCACAAGTGCTACAAATAAATTTAAGACCGGCCTACCTAAATAAGGTATAAATTAATTTCAAATATTTTCGGAGATTAAATGTCATGACAAAATTCAATTTCTTGAAGAGCTCTCTCCTGAAGAGCCAACTCCTGAAGAGAACGAAATCATAGAAAATTTAATTGGAGTCTAATGAAATGTAACACTAAATATTATAAAAGTTGATGAGAATCATAAATCTAAATCGGTTGATGAATGTCGGTATAGAAATGATTGGTCAAAATGAAAAGATATGATCCAATTTGAATTGGAATCACTGGTTAAAAGAAAAGTTTTTGGACCTGTAGTCCAAATACTTGAAGGTGTAAAGTTAGTAGAAGATAAATGAGTATTTATAAGAAAAAAAATGAGAAAAATAAAATTGTGAGGTATAAGGCAAGACTTGGACCCCAAGAATTTTCACAAAAGGCTGGATTTGATTATAATAAAACGTATTCCCCTGTAGTGGATGCTATCATATTTAGATATCTTGTGAGTTTTGCAGTACATGAAAAACTAGATATGCGTCTAATGGACATCGTTACTGAATATTTATATGAAAATCTTGAAAATGATATTTATATGAGAATTCTCGAATAATTCAATATACCTAAAGCATGCAAATCAAATTCTAAAGATATTTATTCTATTAAATTACAAAAGTCTTTGTATGGATTCAAACGATCTGAACATATGTGGTATAACTGTTTCAATGAATATTTAGTTAAAGAAAGTTATACAAATGATCCAATATGCCCATGTGTTTTTATCAAGAAAAATGGATCAAATTTTGTGATCATTGTTATATATATTGATGATTTAAATTTGATTGGAACTCCTGAAAAGATTCATAAAAATGTTGAATATTTGAAAAAAGAATTTGATATCAAAGATTTTGGAAAAATAAAATTCCTTGGTTTATAAATTGAACATTTGAAGAGTGAAATTTTTGTCCACCAAACTGCATATACCCAAAAGGTATTAAAACGATTTTATATGAATAAAACATATATATTAAGTACTTCAACGGTCATCAGATCATTAGATCCTAATAAGGATCCTTTTAGACCGCAAGAGGAAGATGAAGAGACACTTGGTCCTAAAGTACCATATCTTAGTGCAATTGACGAATATTGAAATGCGACGATTAAAAGATCTCAAATGATGTTTGCATCAGGAGGAGAAATTAATACACAGGAATAGTGTACTCTTTTTTTTTCACTAGGATTTTTGTCTCGATAGATTTTGCTCTAGTAAGGTTTTTAATGAAGCATATTTTTTGTGTAATGGACATTCAAGGGGGAGTGTTATGAAACAATTTAAAGTGTGAATGTCCTTTTGTATTCCCAAGAGAATTAATTCATGATTTATGGTTATATTATGTATAGAAATTACAATCCATAAATCTACTCATGTAGTGGAGAAACCATTTCATAAATTTTTTCATATTCTTATAATAGTGGGTGTTTAATAGAATTGATGTTCTTTTAATCTTTTAGTACCTATATATAGAGGTACATTGACACCCTTTGGAAGGACCTTTGATTAGTTGAAATAATAAGAAGATCATTCTTCATTCCTCTACTCATTTCTCTAATATTTCAATTCCTATTATAATAGTTCATTTTATTAGTTTTACAACAACCAGGATGGTTTTCACGATAAATAAAACTACAGATATGATAATGGTATTAGCTTTGTGAACTTTCCATTTTTAAAGGTATAACAGCTTTTGCTTATTCTGATCAACCTGAACATTAAGTAGATTTTTGGAACCAAAATCAATAAAAAAAGGTCCACGTTTCCTCAAACCATGACCATTGCCAATGCAACAGTGACTACATTGTAACTGAAATCTACACCTGAAAAAAAAATAAAAATGTATGTATAACTTCAGCTTAAAAGAAGCAGCAGTCCTTCCACCCAACGAGCTAGAATGCTGATGCAGCCCATTCAAATAAAATACTGAAACTGATGTTAGGAATGACATCTAGACAATGACCTAACAACACCAGTGTCCAAGGAAGTCGAGTAAGACAATGTGCCAGCTCTTCAAACGATCCCCGTTAATATGTCCCCTTTACAAGTTAAATGGACATAGCTGTATCATCCAGGATAGTACAACAGAGTTTTTAGTGGATGAGTTTCTGGCTTAACACTTCACAGCAAACTTCCATTTGCATTTGAAGGTGTCAAGTCCATCAAGTGAAATCAATTAAGTCACATAATTCTTG